TTAATTTTTTTTTTTTAAATAAAGGTAAAATATATATTTTCTTGAAAGAAAATCATTTCAAATGTGATAAATTGTTAATTAATTGATTTATAAACGTACAAACAAAATGAACATAACCTTTCGTTTTTGCGTTTGATTAAGTATTGTGAATAAAACGTGCAACTGAATAGGTTTGTTTTGGAATGAATGTAGAGTAACAATATAGATTGATAATAATATCAATATCATACTTCTAATTCTTTAAAAACATGTTTATAAATTTATGTGAATAAAAATATAAAGTAACTTTAGTTATTCTTCAGAAAATAGGCATAAATAAGCTTATACGTTTTCAAACACACGATTTAAGTTTTAAAAGAATCAAAAGAAATGGGTAAAGAAAATGATTCTGAGAACTCAAAAAAAAGGAGAAAATCAATCAGCGGAAATTCTGGTTTATCTCTAAAAGATGGAGATATGTATAAGGTAAGAAAATCCGGAATAATGATTTTTTTCAATTTAAAATACATGTCTTTTTGTGTAGGTTATAATTAGTTACGAAGAGAAGGAAGCTATAGAACGTTTACCAGAAAGTGACTCTGAAAACTTTTTGTCTTCTTGTGATAACATACGTAAAGCTATGAATATAATTGCAAAACTGAAAGCTAATGGAGAAATAAATGTTTGTATTGCAGTTAAAAGAACAAACTTTGAATATTTAATTTTTAGACATTAACCCTTGTGTAGCCAACCAAAATATACACCGTTGTTGGACAACTGGGGTACCAGGGTACCCATATAGGAGAAATTATAATTAGACGAATTATGAATGGAAATTTTGGGAAGAAATTATACAGAATACAAAATTGTTAATGCTACTTATTTATTAAAATAAAAAATTTAAATTATAATGATTAATTTACTGTAGGACAATTTTTACAGATTGTAATTGTGTTTGCATGTTCATCGCAAACTGGTAGTAAACATTTCTGACAGTTTTTTCTTGTTTTCCTGTGTTTTTTAGCAGGATCTGCCTGACACATGTGATTGTACAGTCGTATGATGGCTTTTTCCTTTTTGCGAACAAAGTGTAATATTTTCATGGTATCCAAATAAGTAGCTAATTGCTAAAGAGCAAGATGAGCAAGTAGAGAGTCAAGATGAACATGCATGCATATGAATGTCAGGGACTGTTGACTTTATCATGGAAGTATATTGTAGTTTCTAATAATTTTTCCCTCAAATCTTTTATAACAGTATTTGGTATACTATAGGAAGAAAAATTATCGCTGCATATCTCATGTATCGGAATAAGACACTTGGGGCATCCGGGTGCTCTGGTTGTCCAGCAAGCGTGTACATAAGTTTGAAGTTTAATTATTTAAAATATTTTATATCAATTTTTTTCACGAAATGTTAATTGATATAAAAGTGTCCAAAGAATGGGGATCTGGAACCGTTTTGCAATATTTTGTCAAGAACATTAAAAATTTCTGAAGAAAATACAGAAATGGGCACCCAGGTACTCAGTTGGCTACACAAGGGTTAAATTCATTTTTCTAAATTTAAACTGTATTTCTTTTAGGTCAAAGATGAAACACGTGAGTTGCAAATTCAAACATCATTAGCTTTCATTGAACTCAAAAAATTGAATAGAATGGAAAAATTTCGTACAAAATTTGCAAGAGATTCTCTTATATCTTCAAAAAGTAGTGTTGATAGTCGGCATTTACATTTACAAAACTTGTTGTATGAAGTAATGCATTTAAAGAAAGAAGTTGTTAAATGTCTTCAATTCAAGTAATTATTTTTTTCTTTAAATTTCTTACATAGAAACATGTGTATAATTATATATATTGTGTATATTTTAATTATGTAGGTCTAAGGATGAATTGATACAACTTGTACCAGAAGAAGAATTTTATAAAGAAGCACCTGAAAATATTTGCAGACCAGTATGAGATATATTGTAATTAAAGTTGCTTTTCTTTTATAATATTACATGTTAATGCTTTTAGGAAATCACAAAGCACAATCCTCATCAATTAAGACTTGCACGTTTAGAATGGGAACTGACACAAAGAAAACAACTCGCTGCTTTATGTGATGAACTGACAGAAAATAAAAAAGTAGTAGCATCAAGTATTGATTCTAAACAAACGCGTCTTGAAAATCTTGCACCACAACTTCGTTCAATATTAGAAGTAATTTTCACCTTTGTAAAATATAGCTTGTTAACAATTGATATTTAAATTACTATTCATTTTTTAGGCAAGTAAGACGTTACAAGAGAGTCTTGGTTTGCCTTTAGATAAAATTAGACAAGAACATCATAAAGCAACATTACTTGCATCACCACTGTATGTTCTTTATGCAAAGGCATCTGCATACAGGGATGCATATGGTACATTTTTATTGATTATGTAAATTTTTTGTATTTTATCATTTCTATAATTGTTCTGTTTACTATTATAGACCATTCTATAATAGTGAAAGTGGAAGGTGATGAAGAAGATGCAAAGCGTGCAAGTAATCAAGATGGATTGCAAGAGTCTGATTCAGATCCTGAAATTGTCTCTGAAAATGTGATAGAAGAAACTCCTGTACACAAAAAAAGACACTATAGGTTATCTAGAGAAGCCAGACAGGAGGAGAAAAAAACTAAACTATTACAGAGACACCCTTTAAATGTGAAGATAATTATTAAATTAAAAAGTTAGTATTTTAATATACTACTTATAAACTGAATAATTGTAAACTGAAATTAAGCATTTAAAAATACTACTTTCTTTTAGATGAAACAAAACTGACGTTGCAATTTTTTTATATGATGTTTCTGAAAGTTGTAACTGTGGAATCAAAATTAAAAACTGAAGGTATTGGAGGCATTAGCACTAGGTATATCATTGTTTAATACATCACTAATAATCAGTATTGTTGCTTGTTTTAAAATTCTTTACAAAAATTTATTTAGTAGAGACATGCTTGTATCAGAATCGATTTTACGCGAACTGTATCCACGGGATTTAGGATTAGAAAGTCCAAATCCTGCTAATTATTATCAGTTAAGCCGACATAATTTGGGTCAGTTTTCATCACTTGGATTAGGACTTCCATATAAATGGGCGCAAAGAATGGCTGGATTACACTTCATTTCGCCTGATGCTCGTGAACAGAAGGTACAAAATTTTTGTGATTTACAATAATATATGCTTTACTAAATTATTTGTAAATAATTGAAATAACAATACTTTGTAGCTTACGAGTTATGAAATAACACAAGATAATGTTGAAAGTGTACTAAGAGAAATTAAGAGGCGTGTGATAGCAAGATTAGAATTGTGCATGGAGATTCGACAATTAGAATCCGGTAATTTACCGATATTTACTAATAATAATGACCTTTTACCTCAAAAACTTAGTACGATTTTACAAAAGTTTTCAACAATTTCATGGAATAGTTATTGTAATTCCGTAAATTCCACTTTTCAAGAACAAGGATTAGTATCTTCATTGGACATGTTTTATGAAGCTATACTACGTCGAGGAAATAGTAAGATATTGTAAAATTATTCTATACAGGGTGAGTCACCTAAGACAAGCCACCTGAATGACTCTTTCAACTTAGAAATAGGAAGAAATGTTTGAAAAAAGTTAATTGCTTCTGTGGGGGCCATTTTATGGTGCATAAAACTTTTTCTCAAGTGGAACTGTTTAGGAGATTTGAAGGCAACCTTCATTTTTTAAGATAGAATCATATTTTGAATATCTACGATACGCTTCGCAAAGCGGTTTCAATGACTGTGGTCATTGAAGGTTACTCAAGGTAATACCAATACTGTAAAAGTTATACTGGTGGCTTTTCTTACGGGATTCACTCTGTATATAAATGTTCATAAATTCTTATAAATTCTACATACAATCGATATTTCTTTTAGACGAATTAATTGCAAAAATAGCTATAAAGCCTGATTATCCAAAAATAGCACCAGTATTTAACATAAGTATGAACCCTATGGTACCTGCATCTGCTGATGTTTTAAGAGACATTGAAAGAGAAGTGAATATTATGTGGGTAAAACCGCCAACATTATCTGCACAACTTCAACGATTGCGAGCGTGTTTTGACATTTATTTAGAATCAGAAAATATTGCACCCAAAGATAAAATTTTCTTTCATCCTGTAAGGGGTCGGACTCGTGCGAGGCCATATAAATATTTAGAATTAGGCGGTGGAATTTTTATTCACCGTTAATCTAATACAATATAATACAAATACAATACAAAAAAAAAATATATATATATACATACACACAATATTACCATAGTATATATTCTGTACCGTCTAGATATTGTGTTGATGATATCTTCCTTTTTTTTAAAAGGTGACTTGCCTCACTTTATTAAGGAAAGTCTATTTAGTTGATAGGATAAAGTAGGGTTGAATGACACTCTTTTTTTAACTATTAACAAGTATAATTATATTCTAAGTCACAATGATACTGGTCGCGAGAGAAGTATGTGTTTTGCAGAGCTCGAATGAATACTGACAGATCTTGTTTTGAAGTGTTGTGTATTTTATAGGAAAGTTGGAGATGGTGTGGTTATGGGTGTTTTTCCTGTTAAGCATGATTGGCAGAAGGTGGGTGTTGCAGGAAATGGATTTGAGGTAGGGATATGTTTTGAAGGAAGGGAGTGATGAGTTGGTGAGTGTCATAGGCAATAAGGTCATAAAACCGGTAGATCTGGTGAACATACTTTCTGAAGGTTTAAAGTTAAAGTCGATGGAACTGTTATGAGGGTGCTGCGACATCGATTGGCCTTATGGGTTTATTGCTGCTACGTATCTAATTTTAGGGTTTGGAGATTTGTGAGGTATCATATAGTGAGTGTAAAAACAGGTAAAAGGGAATAAATCAACTGAAGCATTACTGATTTCGGTACCGAACATATGTACATATTACATTCTGTTCATTTATTATTTATGACAGTAAAAAGAAATTGCACAAAAACCATTTAAACTGAAGGTGAAGCAATTGGGCATAATGCTAATTTCCCAGAGTCTCTTGTAAGATATGTTTGGAATTGATGTTTTAATTTTTTATTTTCTGTGCAAAGTTTGTTACTTTCCCTTTTAAACAAAATATTGTCTACTTTTATATGATTATAGTGTTCCCAAAAATTATTAACTTTAATACATGATTCAGGGACCTGAAATAGTTTATACAGGCTATTATTACAATGTTAGTGAACAAACTTTTTATTTATTCTTACATTAATGTCTGCAAATTCAGTATATACTGCATCTTGTATAAGATATTTCTTCAAAATAAAAAATAATGGTTCCAAAGTGGAGCACATTCTAATTATTTCGATAATTGTAGAACCTTTCTCTACAGTTTTCTGTAATTGCTACAAAGGTAAAAGAAAAAAAATGTCACTAAGTCATGAAAATAAAATGATATTATAAAATCATTATAGTAAATAATTTTTTACCCTTAAAATTTCATTACTTGTGACAATTAGTTTTTTTAATTGTGAAGAATCTACCATTTGAGTTACAGAGAATTCGTGTTTAATATTTCTAAATCTCTTCTTTACATCTTTATCTTTTATTTTAAGTTTTGTAATTCGTTCTTTTCTATTTTGTGATAGTATTTCTATGTTATGCTTTAAACTTTCAATAACAGTCTGCAATTTTAAATGTACTTTTGGATATTGTAATATACATGTTTGATTAGCATCATTTTGTTCTTTTAAATATTCATATTGCTTGTTTTTACTTTCAATCATATTTTCATAATTATGTATTATTTTACACAACTGTTGCCAAAGATTTTCCATGTTTAGAAAAGAATGATGCACAAGATCCGATACCATGTCTTCTTCCTAATAGTTAATGAGATTATGTAAAAAATTTTGTTTAGTAGGTTCTTATATTCTACATTAATGTTATTACCAAATACAAAACATTAAAAATGTTAACAGTATTTTGTGTTTTTCTTATTGATCGTTTTTGATTGAGAATTATGGCTTTCCTGGTTATATTATTAAAAATCTCTCTATAGCTGTGCTGTATATGATTTTCCAATTGAGTTAAGTTAACTATACTATTATTTTTAATGTTATCAAACTTGTACATTTCATGTAAATTTTTCAATTTTTGTTTATATTGTCCTACATAGAAATTATAAGATACATTTGTAATTTATAAATTTAAAATTTGTAAAATTACAGATTAATAATTTCATATAAACAATTTAGAAAATACCAATTATATTATTGATTAACACAATATGAGTTTCTTGAAGTTTTCTATGATCTGCATCTGCTGTTTTTAATTCACTATGTAAATAGAAAATTGTTGCATCTTTAATTCTTATTACTCTATCAAAAGTTGTACAAAGATGTTTTACACTTTCATGAAGTTCTTTACATTTTATTAATCGCAAAATATATCTCCATTTTTCATTAATTTTGGCAGTATTTAATTTTGAAAATACTTCTTCACGTTTAAGTTTATTCTGGAATAGTTTACAATATTTAAAGTGGTTTATTAAGAAGGTTTATTTATAGCAAATAATTGTATACCTTAGTGAAGGTAGCGATTAATTGTTGTTTACGTCTTCTAGCTTCTAGTTCAAATTCAGTACAGTGTTGTATATAACGTGCACGTTCTTCCTCATTCATTTGAGAAAATTTATTTCCTTTAGCTTTCCTCTTTTTTATCATTTTTATATAAGTTATTTCTTATTTAATCAAAATCACTTACTATAAATTAATCATATATTTGACAACCTAATAATATTCACTGTACTTACTGTTCAAAGTATACTAGTAAGAAACAAGTGAATTGTGCCCAATAATGCTTTTTATGTAAAAAGTTGTGTTGATATGTTTGATCAATAAGAATATTAAATGATATTTCATTTTACTTTCCAAATCAAGTATATTAAAAGACTGTTCCATAATGAAATTATAATTTTATATCAGTTACTTAATGTTAAAAAAAAATAATTATGCTTTTATAAAAGCTATTATTTTTGGAGAGTGTATTATTTCTTCATTAGCAAGACATTATTTCAAATTATTTTTTTAACGTTATTCATATTGTTGTTACCAAGATTACGAATTATTGTAATGCTGCATTCCATATTAATATTAAACTGTATATATATTATTGTAATTTTGCGTATTGTGCAGTTTGAAAGAGTTTATTTGGGAGAAAGAATTTAAAAAATGTAAAATTTAATGCTACTATAGTGTATTTATATGTATAACGGTTCCCGTTCTCAAATTTTTATTTTACATACATGAAAAACTTCATATACATGTAAATACATAAGATGTTGATTATTATTTAGACTGTTGATCCCTATATTTTCCTATATAAATCAGTTTTCAAGCGTAATATGAATGTTCATAAGAAAATTATTAGTGAAAATTACATTCGGTAGATATTATTGACCTATTTAAGTAAATATGTTACAATGATGTATTGTATTGATGTATTCCTATTCATGATGTATTTTTTCGAAGAGCAATCTGATATGATTATCATTTACATAGAAAGCCAGAAAAATTCAATAAAAGCTAAAACGTTGTACGCTGAACGATACCGAAACCGTTGTCAACCATCGCGACGAACATTTAAGAATGTTTATTATAAATGGAGACAAACTGGCACCCTTGCTTTTCATAATAACGAACGCCGAAAACGAGTAATTACTAAAGAAAATGAATTTAATATTTTTCAAAATATAATTGAAAATGCAAACATTTAATCCGCGTCAAATTGTACGTCAGTGTAATATTACTAGATGCAGTGTTCTCCGCATTCTCATTATAATGAATTCCATTTGTACTATCTTAATATCCATCAACAAATTAGTGATACTGATTTCGCGAACCGCATTGAATTTTGTAGATGGGCTCAACGTAAAATTCAAAACAAAAATTCGTTTTTTAATTTGATGCTATTTTCTGGCGAAGCTACATTTACGAATCATGAAAGCGTTAATGTATGTAATACATAACATGCCTTTTTGGGCACGGCAAAATCCACATTGGTTGCAGCAGATTGACCATCAGAGACAGTGGTCCGTGAATGTATGGTGTGAAATTATGAATAATAAAATTATTAACTAATAATTTTTCGACATACATAGGTTAATAATGTTTTATAGAAAATGTCGAACTTTATTAACTAATGCATAAAAAAATATACAATTTTATTTAGAAAAGTGGAGATGACTTTGAAATCTCTGAAACTCCTTCAGCTGTAGAAAAATTATTACTACCTTATTATAGCCCCCTCTATAGTGAATAACTTTTGTTAATGAAATTTTTTCATATCTCCAAAAACAACGGAGATATTCAAGTGCTAATTTTTATTGGATCATCCTGAATATAAATATGTATCTTATCAAGTTTCTTTATTCATTGCTTCGGCTACACCTTTACACAATTTGTAATCGGCGCGTTCTAGCATTCACACTACGGGGAGTCACACGACTACATAACAAAACATATGCAAGTGTTACGCTATCGTGTGAACGTACCCCAATTCAAACAAAAATTTCGAAGTTTTTATTTGAATATTTCCTGCGCTCCATGGATACCAATCTACGTTCCTATTACCTGAAATCACCCAAAAATCTGTAACATAAGTAAAGTTTGTGTGACACTGTTTCACATTATTTATTTCGTCTATGAGAATTCGCCTTTATTGGTACATGTAAAGTTTTAGGATGAACTATTGTTATCTTTCATGATTAATGTTCTGAACGTCAGATCTAAACGAAAACGTAGAAAATAGGTTGTATTACATTTGCTTGATATGTAATAATATATGAACTACTATATATTGTTTTACTCTATCACTAAATTGTAAAAATACGTTAATGTATTTGAAAAATGATGGAAATAAATTGGTACGCATAGCTTGTTTTTATATGAATATTTATAATTGACAGATACTTAAAAAATTATCAATTTGTTATATTTCTTATAGGATTGGAAAACCTGTGGATTACAAAACAATACGATTTGCATCTTTAGAAGAAACAACAGATCATCCTCTAAAACCTGTTACTGTTATGGTAAAATATAATTAAAGAACATGAATGAAGATGTAAAAGCATTTCATTATCTGAGTTGTAATGTTCTATTGTATATTATTTTTAGCAGTATAAAATATATTTATTGGATTGCTGATTTTGTATTTGGAAAGTAATGTTTTGAAAATAGTTATTTATTTGTACATTCTTTATATTTCTATAGGTACTATTCTATAAATTATATGATGTTGATGTATTGTAAATTATATGTTTACAGTTAATTGATGGACGTAGTGGAGTTAAACGCAATGTGTTACGAAGTACAAGTACTGGTTCTTCAACTGCTACACCAACACCAACACATACACCAATTTCGGGGAATTCCTTAGCAGATCCTTTGTTAAGTCATTCTTCATTTGATGGATCAGACCCCCTTTCACAGTTTGCAAGAGAAGAATTAGATCCTTTATCTAAGATGGCTGCAGATGAGGTTCTTAGATTATGTTTCCTTAATTCATAATTCTTTGCATTATATATCCTGTATGTTTCAAAATACAATTTTTACATTGTAGTGGGATTATTCTTGCAATGTTGCAGCCATTGGTAAAAAATCTAGGGATACTGCAGAAGAATTAGTAGAACCTTGGTCAACAAGACGTACCATAATATTAAGCAAATACACAACTTTGGAGAAATTATCAATTGTTACTAGTTTTTTGCCAGGTGGTGAAAAAGGTATTATTTTTTTTATTAAATAATATTAGACAAATAAATAAATTAAATTCATACAAATTCATTTGTTATAGTTGTTAAAGTTCAACCAAGTGTCGGAGTGGTTGACAAAGTACGAACAAGGTTGGAACAGTTAGATGATTTTGAAGAAGGATCTGTTAGGCAAATGTTAGATTTGTCACAACAACAGTACACTGCTAGAATTGAACAACTAAATAATGAACTTGTACAAGCATGGCATTCCGATCAAAGAGTTAAAGCACTTAAAATTGCGATTCAGGTTTTTGTTTTTATTTATTTCTTGTTATTCATATTAAAAAGAAACAAACTTAATTAATGTAAAACAATTTCAGTGTGCCAAATTATTAGTAGACACATCTGTTATGGCCTTTTATCCCAGCAAATTTGTTCTTATCACAGATACTTTAGATATTTTTGGAAAACTCGTTTATGAAAGATTAAAAGTTAAAGCTGAATATTACAAGTTAGTATTATCTTATTTCAATATTATTACATGGTTTTTGTTTAGTACATGTAAATATATGAATAATATTAAATTGAAAGTAAATTTTTTTTTGCATAAATTGACTATCGCCGTTATTATACACATTAAAAGAAGTACACACGAAATACACACATTACACATGTATTACAGAAATATTTTGTTACATTATTTAAATATTCGATAGATTACGCATATTATAATAGTTATTACATTTACATGTAATCACTGTTCTTGTTTATATTTCATGAATATAATTCATCTTTATAATAGGAAGTAAGGATGTC